TACATAAAAGCAAAGATACATTTGTCAAGAGTCAAGTATCATCAGGTACAACACTTAATAATAGTCATAGGGTACAATAAGCAATCAAATCGTATTAGGAAACAGTCAATAAAAACAAGCAACAAAGTTACAGTCATAAGTGGGAGGAGTTGGATGAAAGGAAAGAAGGATAGGAGGATTAATAGTAATAGTAATGCAGACTTTGTAAATAGTTGGACAGTGTTGAGGGAATTATTTGTTTAGCAGAGTGATGCCGTTCGGGGAAAAATCTGTTCTTGTGTCTAGTTGTTCTGGTGTGCAGTGCTCTATAGCCTCGTTTTGAGGGAAGGAGTTGAAACAGTTTGTGTCTGGGATATGAGGGGTCTGTAAATATTTTTACAGCCCTCTTTTTGACTCGTACAGTATACAGGTCCTCGATTGAAGGCAGGTTAGTAGTAATTGTTTTTTCTGCAGTCCTAATTACTCTCTGAAGTCTGTGTATGTCTTGTTGGGTTGCAGAACCAAATCAGACAGTTGGTGCTTTTTCAAGAGGCAACTGGACTTTCTGGCTTCTTGCTGAAGAAGCTTCTTGGATGAGAAGCAAAATGTCTCCAAAGAAAAAACAGATAAGCCCAGTCACTTCTTGAAAAAGCACCTTTGGGACTTTCTGGGTTTTCTGAACATGGAGAAGAATTCTGGAAAAGAGTTGAAAGTTCATTGAATTTCTGAAGGTATAAACTATTTATCTGCCTTAACTTTGTGAAATCTTAGTCTTATAAGAGATCCCCATCTCAAACTTTGAAGTTATAATAATCCCAATAGAGCTGGAAGGGACTTTGGAGATCTTCTAGTCCAACCCTCTGCTTAATCAGGAGACCCTATACCATTTCAGGCAGGTAGCTGTCCAGACTTGTCTTTAAAAACCCCAGTGATGAAGCACCTACAACCTCTGAAGGCAAGCTTTTCCATTGGTTAATTGTTCTCACTGTTAGGAAGTTTCTCCTTAATTTCAGGTTGTTTCTCTCCTTGATTAGTTTCCATCCATTCTTTCTTATGCTGCCCTCTGGTGCTTTGGAAAATAAGTTGACCTCCTCTTCTTTGTGGCAGCCCCTCAAATATTGGAATACTGTTATCATGTTACCCCTAAGTACTTCTTTTATCTAGACTAGCCACACCCAATTCTTGAAACTGACCTTCATGTTTTAGTTTCCAGGCCTTTAATCATCTTAGTTGCTGTGTTTTTTTTTATTTTATTTTTGGAGAAGATTATATAAGGAAAGAGAATAAAAAAGGAACAATTTGACAGTGTCCTGGATGAAGTGAAGAGATTTACACAGGCATTTAGATGGGGCCAGGCTGATCTTCCATGCTGACAGATCTTCTATTGATATATGCATTGTAATTAGTCTAGTAGCCCTTGCTCCATTGAGTAAGTACCATAGTGTGCTACTTTTCAACTTTGGAGGTCACTCCCAAAAAAGTACCTTCTGTTACAGGCAAGATAAACTAAGCTTGTGATAATGACTAGGGCAAGATTATTTCTTCCTTGTATGATAATGATGCTCCTTGACTATTTGGAAGTACAACCTCCAAGTAGCCTAGGTCTCATGACTGAATGATTCATCCAGACTATGTGTTGCTCAGTTTAGCTGTTTCAGGGAATGGGCATCATGGTGGCAGCCTTTGGATCTTTTATTCAGCAATTAATCATCATGTATCAATTCATAAATACATTGTACTGAATCCAGTAGGGTTTGTTTCAAGCAAATGCACATAGAGTTGTTCATGTAGTGACATTTCTTCATGTAATGCTGATAGTAAACATTTCATTGATATCAGCACTCTGGCTGCTGATAGAATAAATTAGAAGCTAAATTCTTACCGTATGGTAAGTTATTAAAAACAATCAGTGGTAACTGCTTTACGGTCTTCACAATTAGTCATCTTTATTTTCCACAGTAAACAAATTATAGGATGACAAACTAAAAAAAACAAACCCTAATTTTCATTTATGCAATACTTAGCCCAGAATTTGCATTGTTCTGCCTCCATAAATATATCCCTCACCTTCAGTTTGGAAGGATATTCAAACATTTTACAACTTCCTTTTATGATTTTGAGGTATAAATTGTTTTGTACCTTGGCAAACCCAGTGTTTTCCATTGTTGTTAATTTGCTTTGCTTGTTGGAATTCTATGGCTTAATTTACCAACCGGTGATTAATTGCCTAGAAATGCACAAAAGAATTGAATAGATGGATTCTTTTTGCATTGCAAGGGTGGGTAATGTAGTATGTGAAATGGTGACCTTCCACTCCAGCTTTCACATCACTAGTAATGGATAGCAGGGATGTGAATACTCTCCTTTGAAAGCACAACTGTTATTTAATAGTAAGTCTTCAAAGGAACATGTATATTCTCCTTCACATAATGTCACAGGAGGATTAGATCACTTTGATGATTAAAACATTCTTTTGAGATTTGTGGAAGGAACCATGGTATTCTGTTTCAACAATACAGAATTTCTGTGTTTTCCTATTTATTTGTGGATACAGGCAAATGCATTGTGGCTCTTTGAATGAAGAACTGTGAATAAATCATAGGGCTCAGCTGGGTTGTAGACACACCAAGAATTAAAATGACATCTTCTTTAAAAGTCATAGGAAACTGCAACAGTGGAATGGGGAATAAAGAACATAATTGTATATGGTTCACAATCCAATCATGCAGCTCAAAATAACAGAATAACAAAGACAGAAGGGACCTTAGAGTTCTTCTAGTCCAACTCTTGCTCGTGCAGGAAACTCTCTAACATTTCAGGCAAATGGTTGTCCAATCTCTTCATTAAAAAACTCCAGTAATGGAGCACCCATAACTTCTTGGGCCAAGCCGCTCCTCTGATAAATTGTTCTAACTGTCAAGAAATTTCTCCTTAGTTCTAGATTGGTTCTCTCCATTTTCTGAAAATAAAAATTATGCCGACATGTTATTTTTTTTTTACTATGTTTTTTTATGAAACTCATTTTTTTATTTTTTTTATTTATAGTCATAATACTAAAACAACGTCTTGGCTAGACCCAAGGTGCCTGAACAAACAGCAAAAGCCTCTAGAAGAATGTGAAGATGATGGTAAGACAATCAGTGCTTAAATAATTTGGGAAGTCAACCTTTTCTTGTTTTGAAAGTCAGTAGTTTACAATTCAGGCTTGATTCTCTGGCTGCAATCAAACTTCAGTTGTTTAACAAGTCATCATGCATTAATGACAAGTGATCTAAGAATCACAGGTTGGTCTGTAATCATCTTCAGCAGTTGGCAGCCCTCAAGAAGTCTTGGGTCACGAGAGTCCACAGAATATCCCAGCATGGCCTGTAGTCTTAACACAACTGCAGTGTATAAATCTGAGTGAGCAATGCTTTTGTAGCTAGTGAAAAAACCCTTTAAAAAAATGGCTAGTAGGCCTCTAAGAGTTTCAGAAGACCATTGGTGACATGATGTAAGAGAAGGAGCACAGGGGAGATTTTTTAGTGTTCTCCTCACTGCCATTTTAATTTTGTTTTGTTTACTACATAGTTTCAGCAGTACGATCATATGGTACTCCAAGACTTAGAAGAGTCTGGGGAGCTCCATACATCTTATTGTTTGCCTCTCCTTGATCTTTATCCAAAGAAATATTCCGCCAGCTCAGTGAAGCTCAGATGTGGGTTGAGTGAGACAAACATACAGCCGTAGCAGCTGCACACAAAGGTCTTTGGTTGGGTGTGTCTGTATAGGAAACAATTCTTTTTTGATGGCGTGGAAGTGGGGGAAGAATATTCACATTTTGTAGGAATTATGAAGCCATACACCCAGCAAACACCCACCCTGGAAACAATTTTGTAAGTAAAGATAAAACCACCAGCAGCAATAGTAGTAATAAAAAATTGGTACAGATCATCCTTGATTTATGACCAGTTGTTTTGTGAACATTCAAAGTTACGACAGACCTCTCCCCCAAAAGCTACTTATGATTCAATTTCAAACTTATGTTGTCATTTTCTCCCCCACAGTCACATCATCATTTGGGGGGGGGGGGGGGGGCTTGGCAACCAACTTACCTTTACAGCAGTTTGCAGCTTCCCACAGTCACACGGTGACCCTCTTAATGACCTTCTGGTCTCAATTACAGTCATAAGTCAAGGACTAGCTGTTCATAAATGAAAGGAAAACAATAGCAAAATAAGTAGTGCACATTTTAAGATTAGTAAAAATGTTAAGGAAAACAAGATTATCACCTTTAAAAGAGCACAATGCACATACTCAAAGACCCTCTAGAGTAGGGGTGTCAAACCCTCGGCATCATGGCGGCATCATGTGACGTATTGGTACTTTTCTCCCCTTTGCTAAACCGGGCGTGGGCATGGCCAGAACATGTGTTTGACAGCTCTGCTCTAGAGAGAGTGCTTGATGAATAAGGCCTTGTACCAAAATAACCATGCATTTAATGGCCATCAACCTTGTCTCATCTCATTAGTTGAAACATCTAATTATGGTTACAGGGTCTTGGCAAGAAAATAAGGAAGATGGTCAAAATTATTTTAGGATTAAAGGATAAAACCAGATTTCCAAGCTAGGTAGTGTTTTAGTTATTATCGTCATTGGTCCTCTTAGATTTTTTTTAAACTACTGGAATCACAATTATAGGAGGTATAGTTTCAAAATCACTCTGGGTAAAAGAACACTAGACATCAGAGTTATGAAATCATGTATTTTTATTATCATATGCATTTGGTGCCAAAGTCACTTTATTAACTTTATTGAAGGCAAATGTGTACTGGTACTTCTTTTTTGCAGAAATATATTTTGCAATATATATTCTATATATTTTTTGCAATGCTATATTGGCAAAGATTTAATTTTGACTGTTTCTGAAACACTGAAGGAAGGAAATTAGTGTCCACTTTAAGAAACCAAACTACCTTAACTTGTTAGGCATGCATTGAGAATAGGAGAAAAAGAAAAGAAAATGTATTAAAAAAAAACAATATTTTTTTGCAGGCAGAATATATGTCATTTGAAAACATTTCAAAAAAGGCTAAGCCTAAATCATTTTCCGAGTTCTAAAGTTCTAAAGCATTTTCAAAATTCTCTTTTGAGCATGCAAATATAGGCTAGTTCTACATATATAAAGAAATATTTTCTTAATGTAACACTGTCATGGATTCTCTATGGTTCAAAAGATTTTCTTAAACTCTAGAATTAGGAATGATAGATGTGGGCAAACAGATATTCAAGCAACAAATTAGAAGGATGTTAACATCGTTGATGGTGTTAAAAAGCTAAATGCCACCTCCCTCTTTAAACATAAACTAAATTGACATGAAAAACCAAATATTTTTTACATACATACATACATACATACATACATACATACATACATACATACATATCAGAAATAATAAACTTCTGCTTTGAAGGTACTTCCATAGCATGTTTTTCAAATATATCTTGATTTGAGAATAAGGCTGCAGAGATGGACAAAATCTTTTTGGCAGACAATCGCTAAAAGCACGTCAACCACTTGAAAAGTGAGTAAATTCAGAAAAACCCTTGCCAACTTCCATTTCGATTTAACTTTTTGGAGAGAACGTTCTTGCTGTCTTTTAAAACGAGTTTATCACACTTATTTTCAAACTCAAGAAACTATACTGGTTGCGTGACATGGCTCCTGCATATGAACACATAGAGTGATGGTTTTATGATACCCATCCCTGACTTGATGTTCTTCAAATACATGTAAGTCCTCAAGTTGCAATCATTCATTTAGTAACCATTTGAAATTAACAGCAGCGCTGGGGGGAAAAAGTGACTTGTGACCTTTTTTCACACTTATGATCGTTGCAGCATCCCTGTGGTCCCATAATCAAAATTCAGATGCTTGGCAATTGACATGCATTTATGATGGTTTGACAGCCAGCTTCCAACAAAAAAAAAAAGTCAATGGGGAAGCCAGTTTCACTTAACAATCATGGTACTGACTTAACGACTGAAGTGACTCACTTAACAACTGTGGCAAGAAAGGTTGTAAAATAGGCATAATTTGCTTAACCACTGCCTTGCTTAGCAATGGAAATTTTGGGCTCAATTGTTGTCATAAGACGAGGACTACCTGTAGAGGTAGTCCTTGACTTACGACCACAATTGAGCCCAAAATTCAGGTTGCCACAGTTGTTGGCAAGAAAGTGAATCATGGCAGTTGTTAAATTGTGAAGTGGTGTAGGGTTTCCTGCCTAAGCAAGGGGTTGGACTAGAAGACCTCCAAGGTCCCTTTCAACTCTGTTATTCTAGTCTAGTCTAGTAACTGGGTTGTTAAAGTGATTTCCCCATTGATCTTGCTTGTCAGAAGGTTGCAAATGCTGTTCCCATGACCCCAGAGCACTACAACCGTCACAAATATGAATCAGTTGCCAAGCATCCAAATTTTGATCATATGACCATGGGGATGCTACAATGGTTCTAGGTGTGAAAAACTCTGTAACTTTGAACAGTCACTAAACAAAGTGTTGTAAGTCGAGGACTACCTATAAACCAGACCCAAATTCATGGAAAACTCCCTGTCAGTATGGCATTTACTTATTTATTGAAACCATTTATATAGCCACCTGTCTTATGCTGAGTTCTGGAGGCTCCCAATCAGCAGTTATAACAACTTGAGTAATAAACGTAATGCATAAATATATCAAAGTGCTTGAAGTTCTGAGACATAATGTCCAAGGAATTGGGTGGTCTTTAATCCGGGAAGCTTTACACGTCTTAGTTTAGACCTGTTGGCTCATTGAGTCCTGTCTAATCAGTGTCCAGCCATCCAGATGTGCCTGAATGATAAGTCCAGCATTCCTCACTGTAGACCATGCGAGCAGGGATTGGTTGGCATATTTGGACTTGAATACTGCACAACCCTGAACAGATCCATTATCTCCACAAGCATTTACATTTTATGTTGCTTCAACTGCCAATGGCTTTAAATGCCTATGGAGATTCTCAAATCATCCAGGTCATAGCTGTCCCAAAGATGTTTTTCAAAAGGCAGCTAGGCTTTCTTGTTTTTTTTTTTTTCCTTTCCTTGAAAAGATTTCGTTTCTCATCCAAGAAGCTTCTTCAGTACAGTTGCCTTTTCAAAAGCACCTTTGGTTCAAATGGCTTTGGTAAGTGTTTCCTGTTCTTGCTACCAGTAAAATTGCCTTCTATTGATTCCGATTTCTTTTATATTAAAAGTGGTGTCTACTACCTGAATCATAGTATGCTCTATCTGAAATTGAGAAAACATTATTATGCTTATTAGAAAAAAAAACATACTTAATCAATACTGTTTGCATTGTGACTGATAGATTCTTTACAAATATAAATTAATCTAGCTGGGAACGTTACTTTGTTTTTGGTGTTTTGATGCTGAGAAGTCATGTCTTTTTAGAAGACATGACTGATGTGCTCAAATGAATCCATGCCTGTCCTATAATTTGCTTGCAAGTTTTATCATTTCTCATTTGCTGATTACAGTTTTGTTTCTTAATATAAAAACAACAACACACACTCTCATTCATGCCATCATTTACAGATAAAAATTCTACGCTTTAGTGGTATTTTTAAATGGAGTACATTCTTTGCAAGTACTTTCACATGAAAGCGTTTCTTAGAATAGAGTAAAAGACATTTGCTTTGAAATTCATGCAATTAGCCCATTTTGAAGCTAGGTACGTCGGCTAAAAATGCAGTCCTAAGATGACACCAACTAGCAAGCATGCATTATATGATGTGTCAACTCGTTCCAATGAAGTTGACCCAGGAGTTATAATTAATCATTTCCATTAATGGTTTTATTTAATAGGAAGTTATAATTGGTCATGAGGGTTTTTATTTTAATTATTGTGGAATGGAAGTACAAGTAGTCCTTGACTTACCACCACAATGAGCCCAAAATTTCTATTGTTAAGTGAGAAATTTGTTGAGTGAGTTTTGCCTTTTCTAAAGGCCTTTCTTGCCACAGTTGTTAAGTGAATCACCATTGCAGTTGATAAGTGAGTAACTCAGTTGTTAAGTGAATCTGGATTCCCCATTGACTTGGCTTGTGAGAAGGTCACAAAAGGGATGACATGACCACAAGGATACTGCAAGCATCATTAAATTTGAACCAGTTGCCAAGCATCTGAATTTTGATCAAATGATCATGGGGATGCTACAAAGGTCGTAAGTGTGAAAAATGGCCATAAGTCATTTTTTTAGTGCCGTTGTAACTTCAAACGGTCACTTAAAAGAACTGTTGTAAGTTGAGGACTACCTGTAATATTTTATCAAACCAGATTTGGAAACAGCTGAATTGCACCTGGTATGAGACTTTGGTTCCTTGTACAGAGAAGAGTTCTGATTTGAATATGTTCACAAATTATCATAAAAATAACATGCAGGAAACCACTTAAGCCTTTCTGCCATTCCCTGAAATGAATGGAAATTCCAAACATGCAAGAATTCGCCATGCCCAACGCCCTCGATCAGTACAGTTCATTTGTAATCCTTGAACGTTTTTGATTGTCCTGCAATCTTCTCTACCCTTTGTGGGATTGAAGAGGAGATCCATGCTTTTACTTTTGCAGTGCCAAATGTGTCTTTAGCACAGTTGCCAAAAGCTACATGCTTTATAGTAACCAGAGTGTTGTGGCGGCATGGGTTTGGGCAAAGTTGGTATGAAACGTGTGGTGTTGGTTCTGCTGTTTACTGGAAGGAATTTCTTGCTTGCTGCTGGTGTCTGAATGTTTCTTTTAATTTTTTTTCTATCTCACTGCTCTTCCTTTGGAGAAGAAGGGGTACACACGGAAGAACTGGACAGTGAACTAGGTAAATCATCCATCTCTCATTTTTTTTGCTCCATTGGTTGGACTGCCATATTAACCACTTAGCATCTTTTTTCTTTGTATCACTTTTTCCTTTTTTTTTAATTTCAAGCAATAACAACATGTAGCTTGGCTTCTGCACTGAACAGCATTTGCATAGGAATAACATTTTGGGATCAATGAATGCCCCGTTATTTTCTTCCTCCATGGCATTATTGTAACTTTTTCTGCTTGACATGGATATAGTTATAGGACATTAAAGGACTTTTTCCATGGGCTTAGTGATAATTCTAATTATTGGCTCCTTCCTGTTTAGTTTTGATGTTAAATTAGGAACTTGAGTTTTGAGTCAAACTTTGTGAAATACTGCAGCTTTAGGATTCCAGGATACATACAAAGACTATGCTATTTTGGTACAAAAAGTTCTTATTTTTTTCTTGTGGGATATATATGATGCCATATGGCTTAAACAGTACTTAAAGTATAAAATGTGCTTGCAAAGACCTAGAATTTGAAACTGACATTTTGAGATCATCTAAATTGCCATCCTAATTCTGGTTGCTGAGTATTTTTAGGCATACTTAGAATAAACATGTAACTGGCATCATGCTACATAACCATGAAACCCTAAAACGATGCAGCTCAATTATTGAATTTTATTCCTTCTGTGGAATTCAAAAAGCATCAGTTACATTTTGAATGGAAGGTGTAATTTACTTGATGCAAGATGAACTGATTTAACTATGTGTTTGCAATCCTTCTGGGGAAAAATAAGGAAAAAGTTTAGCAAATTAGTTGCAAAAGAAAATTATGTTTCCTGGCTTGCCTTTCAACATATAAAAATAGTGACATGCCTGTTAATGCACCTCTTTCCATTCTGTTCGTAGTCCTCTCTTTCTCACAATTACACATTATTGAAGGTTTTTTTGCTACAGTGTTACCTTGGTACTTGTCATTAATTAGTTCTGGGAGGCACAGTGAGTACTAAAAATGATGAGTTCCAAATAAACCATTGACTTGCCAGGTGACCCTTTGTTTCAGCCGGGAAGGACTTCCAATATTTCCATGATCTTCCCAGCATGGGGGACTTCCTGTCTGCTCTCTCCAGCGATCCCCTTCTTCCTTTTGTAGCAACTTCCCGGCATGGCTGACTTCCTGTCCATTTTTCATGTCCGTCCCCCTTTTCCTGTCGAAGTGCGTCAAGTACCAAACATATGAGTACCACAACAACATTTTAAGTCAAAATGTGTCAAGTCCCAAGCACTGAAGTACCACTCTATATATTTTCCCACATGTCATGGCAGTGATCAGCTGCCAAGGCAACTGGCTTTTTTGGGTCCAGAGACAATGAGCATCCCAATAAATAAAGGGCTTTAGACTTTGTTATTAGCTCAAGCAAATGGTTATAAAAGCATCATATAAAAACATACATATCAAGCAAGATGACACCCCTATCTCTTACATGCTCTCAGGAATTCTTTAATAACCACAACAGAGGTAAACCACAGTGGCCAGTTTCCAGAGTACCTAGTGCTAGGTTTTATGCAGAAGCTCCCAACAAACAACAACAACCCCAATATTTTTAATTAAAACCCAGTATCATGAATTCATGGCCTTGCTATGATCAGGAAACTTGCAAGACCTGATCTTGACTGGATGGCATATGACTTGAAAATCTGAGACTTTCGAAGGTTTGCAGAAAGCAATAGCAGACTTATATACCACTTCACAGTGCTTTACAGCCCTCTCTAAGTGGTTTTACAGAGTCAGCATATGGCCCCCAGTAATCTGGGTCCTTATTTTACCCACCTCGGAAGGATGGAAGGCTGAATCTTGAGCCCATAAGACTCAAACTGCTGGAAGCAGGCAGTCAGCAGAAGTAGCTTGCAGTACTGCATTTTAACCACTGTATGATTGTAGCTATGTGGAGATTCTCCCCCACCCTTCTTCTTTATTCATATATTTTGTTTAGTTAAAATTTAAATAGATGTATATTTTTTTAAAAAACACACACATTTTAAGCAAATTATCAATAGCAGCTGCATTGTGCAAAACCAGAGAGTGTGCTTTGCATAGAGCTTTGATTGGTTGCACTTGGTTTTAATGGTTGGGCAGCTGAAGGACCTTCAACTTTCATTTATTGAAGTAACTCTTAATAGTTCCTCTGGAGGACATTGAACCCTGAGAGGTATAAAAAATAGCACCACATACAAAACCAGAAATAAAAGGAATGAAATAAGAGCTGGGATCTACTTGGCAGAAGTGGGTTAGGGCCAGGAGCATGTGATCACTTAGGATGATCTACTTGATAATTCTTTTAGAGAATTTGGCCATAGTTCTTATAATTACTTATTCTTAAAACACTGTATCAAGTAATTTACCTTTATAAGCTAAACACCGACAGCCTGATGTATTCAGCCAAGTGCACACTTCCTTCAATAGGCACACATTTTTATCTGTTTAGATTTCTGCCTTAAGTGTGGAATACAGAAATATTCTACAAAGAATGTAGGACGAAGGGGAATGGGAAGTTACTTAGCGTTGATTGTATTTTACTATTATTATTTTTTTAAAAAAATGTGTGTGGTCTCTTTTGTTGTTGTGCTTCCAAGTCTGTCTTGACTCCTAGTGAACTGCCTCAGACAAGTCCCTGTAGTTTTCTTGGCAAGTTCTTGCAAGTGGTTTGCCACTGCTTTCTTTTTGGGACTAAGAGAGAGTGGTCCAAAGTCATCCCACTGGCTTTGACAGCCTGAGGCAGGATGAAAATTCACTGTCCCTGAGTTTATAATCTGCCTTAGATTATTACCTCAAACTGGCTTTAGCGTGTGGTCATAGCAGATGAGAAAATATCTTCTTCCATCCCCCATCCTCACTTCCTAATTAATTAATGGAACCTATTACCCAGTTTGCAGGCCCCCACAAGATCTTTTTATTCTTTACAGCCAAGTGGAATATTGGAAATAAATTCTATAGATTGAGGGGGGAATGGGTTTCCTGTATCTATTACAACTTTTCAAAAAGCTAAATAGAAGTGGACCAAAGATTCTTATGGGAAGCAAAGCATGACAGGAAAAAAAAATGGCTTTCGAAGTAGACTGGATCTAACCAGGGTACTCTATATTTTATTTTTAAGGGGATGCTTGGAATTTCTTTCCTAAATAAAAATATCCTATTGATAGGGATTTGGGGCTGGAGAATGACCAAAGTACGTTATACAAGTTTTATCCTGAGTTAGTTTGTTTCATTAGCTTACGTAAGACTCTTATCCTCAGAGATTCCTCATTTGTGTAGGACTTGAAAAAGGCCATTTTTTTTTTAAACTCTGTTGCCAAATATTTTCTCATCACACCTATTGCCAATTAGCCCCACATTTCCTTTCTTCGTTTTCTCAGGAAATCCAAAAACTCTTCAGATAGATGCCATGAAAAGCATGTGGGTGGGAGAAATTGGAGGAAACCTGTTTTTTATTTGCAAACAAGGAACATGTGGAGCAAAACTTGTTCAATATTTTTCCTTGATTTTTAGCCAGTTCTGGGTTCGTAATATAAACTTTGAGTAATTAGCCCATGTGTGTTTATAAGGGATTAATTCCTTTTCAGTCTGGAACTGTTTGTGTCCGTATGGCACACTAGTTGGAGCCTGCAGCTAGCACATTGAAAAACACAGAGATTTATGTGCAAGCGTCTGATTCTATAAACAGCAAGGTTTTATTTTGTATACAATAGTACTTACCTGAGCTTAGCTACTTCCCCCCCCCTCCTTGGTTGCGCAAAGGATTGCGCTGTTAACTACTGTGTATTTCCTGATGAATAAAAAAATACGATCTCTGATCATCTTTGAATACTTATCCTGCGGTTGAGTAAGTTAGGATACGCCCCCTCCATTTTGCACATGGATGCCTTTAAATGTCAAAAGCAGCGCACTCGCAAAATAACAATGATTTGCCAAAATGAAGAAACAAGCAGCATGATACCTGCATCTGGCATCTTGAACTACGTAGAAAAAGAGCATAGTTTGAAATGCCGTGGCAAAAGTTTCTTTTTTGTCATTTGCCTTCCAGTCCCCCCCCCCCCCATATGCCCCACTATGCAGCTAATAAACTATCTCTTTTTGGGGATATTTTCCTAAACTTTATGCTTATGGTTTTAGTTCAGAGGGAAAGAAAAGCAGTTTTTTCTTGTGTTATACCATATCAAAATTGCAACAGGGCAATTGATCGCTGCTCAGTTGTCCACCTGGTCATAAGCCAGCATACTTTAGTTCCATTTCCCTTGTATCATGTCCCGCTATTCCTCGTGTGTACATGTGTGTGTGTGTGTGTGTAGATGATAGATAGATAGATAGATAGATAGATAGATAGATAGATAGATAGATAGATGATAGATAGATAGACAGACAGACAGACAGACAGACAGACAGACAGACAGAATTCCAACACTATAGAATAACAGAATTGGAAGGGACCTTAGAGGTTTTCTAGTCCAACCCCCTGCTTAGGCAGGAAATCCTATACCATTTCAGATTGGACAAATGGTTGTCCAATCACTTCTTAAAAACTCCCAGTGTTGGAGCATTCACGACATCTGGAGGCAAGTTGTTCCACTGATTAATTGTTCTGTCAGGAAATTTCTTAGTTGTAGGTTGCTTCTTTCCTTGATTAGTTTCCACCCATTGCTTCTTGTCCTGCCCTCAGGCGCTTTGGAGGATGGATGGCTCAACAGAGAGAGAGAGAGAGAGAAAAAATAGAGATAGGGATAGAAAAACATAGAGATAGAGATACAAAGATAGAGAAGATAGATTTGTTTGAAAGGCAAGAATTCCTCATATAATCCTCTTTATGCAGTCTCATGTAATATGAGCCTAGAATGTTTCTGGGGTTCTTTCTTATTAGTGTGCCAGTAGAAAAATGAAAATCCTTATGTAAAATTCTACTCTCTGGTAATCTTAAGTAAGGTAAAGATATGAAGCCATTTTTTAAAAATTTTTTGCCTTTCTCCCTTCCTCCATTTTGATCTCTCTCTCTCTCTCTCTTTCTCTCTCTCTCTCTCTCTCTCTTTCTCTCTTTTCATATTCACATACACATACCCCCTTCTGCAACACAAGTATCCCTAATTTGAAATCTGTAGACAGAGCACAGGTGAGAGCAATTGCCACACCTGTGACAATGCAGCATTCAAATAGTATTCTTTCACAGGATTTACAGTGAATTTTTCATTAATCAAGAAAACAAAAGAGCGAAATTAAAAAGGTGAATTCGGATACACACTCCCACACTTTCTCTCTGTAAACTAACCTATGTTTATAGAAGTATTTACGCCTTCAGTTAGCAAATCTTCAGGCACAGAGCTCTTTACTTTCCCTCTGCAATCCTCCTCCTCTTATTCGTGCACTCTTTCTCCCTGCAGTTGTTATAACAGTGAAGATTACTTTATGGTGTGATTAAAGGATAATGATTCAGTGACAAGTTTTGTAACATGATAAAATGACGGTGTGTGCACAGAGATTTGCGCTGTCAGCTCTGGGATTCTAAGTCATTTCAGTTGTGATAGAAATACGAAATGCCTTGATAGCTAACAGGTACTTGCTACAAGTCAGACCTCATCAGCTAGATCCTGGAGCCTTCTTCAATCAGGGGCCTTCCAAATATTTTGGATCATCATGGCTGAGAATCCTGGGATTTGTAGTCCCAGCACTCCAGGCAGAATTTGATGTGATTTCATTTAAACTTTTTTACATTAAATGTAATGGAATTTGTTGCTGAAGATTCTATAATGTTCTCCTTTTGCTACATTAAAAATTACAACTTGAGCTCAACTTTTAGAAAAGTTTTGGAGAGAAAGACTTTTGGAAGTCATTTGTCCTCTTCAATGAATCACCAAATCATTATTTGTTAATTTTGAATTTACTTTTAATGTGTTCTTTCAGAGGTGGTATTTAGCAGGTTCTGACCAGTTCTGGAGAACCGGTAGCGGAAATTTTGAGTACTTTGGAGAATTGGCAAATACCACCTCTGATTGGAGATTTTACAGTATCCTTCCCCTGCCATGACCACCAAGCTACGCCCACCAAGCCACGCCCACAGAACTGGTAGTAAAAAAAATTGAATCCCACCACTGTGTTCTTTGTTTGTCTTTTTGGATTAACACTGTAATGTTTTAAGTGTTCAAACGTAACTTACATAGCAGTATCAGAAACCTCAATGTAATTGTTAACATGGTTCTTATATTTTACAAGAGTTATACAAAAGCTCCTGGATCACAAAAGTTTCTCTTAATCTGCATTCTTTGCACTACTACAACTTTGCTATCTTTCTGAATAAGATTTGCATGCTCTTTACTTTTAAGTAGCAAAATAAGACCCAGGGATCCATAAATGTTAATTCCATTGTCTGAATGCTTGGTTAAATCAAAAAGTAAGAATAAGTGGGTATGCCTTAAATGGAATCATTTTCTTCCTGGAAAAAAATGTTTTGTCATTGCATTCGTGCATTTGTATGTTTTAAATAAGGAACATTGCAGCTTTATGGAAAATAGTGGGGGTGTGCAGAATTTTTCTATGTGCAAAATTAATATGCTTAAAGAAAAGTTTATTTGTTTGTTTCTAGAACTACCTGCTGGTTGGGAAAAGATTGAAGATCCTGTATATGGTGTCTACTATGTAGAGTAAGTCTTTTGTAACAGATTACTTTGTAGGAACACATGCCACAGAATAATGTTCAACTGCCATGGAATTTCACCTTAATTTCACATTTGCCATTCAAACAAATTAGCAGTCTTGATTGTGTTTCCCTTTGTTTATTCTAGTGCTATATTTTGTTAACAGCATACACTTGCTTGTATCCCATAGGAAAGATTCCAAGAACGAGGCAGAAAGATTCGTGATTTATTGCTCTTGAGCTCCCCCTAGTGATCTTTTGTTGAAAAATCAGTATTTCAGCCGGCAAAAAAATGAGGGTTCCTAAATACAAAGTTGAAATAAAACATTCTGACTAAGCTGTACTCTAGAAATAAAATATGACAAAGCTAAGGAATATTGCCCGAAGTTTCATATTTGGGTTCTTTAAAAAAAAGATGCTTTGCAAGAAAATGCATCCTAGCCGAACAAATTCCTATTGTATCAATCATTACTTTTAATAATGGAGAATTTAAAAAACTAATTTAAATGTATAAAATCAATATTAGTCACATGGAATTCTGCAGTGTTTAGCTGTTCAATACAGAATGAAAGAGCAAATCAAAGCTTCTATGTTATTATCATTTTTAAATGAGCTTAATCTGGATGGCAATAACCTCATCCTTTTTAATAATCTGTATTCAGCATTATCCATATTACTCACTTGATAAAAATGCACATTTAAATATAAGTATGTTCCTATTTATAATGGTGACTTATAGCAATTTTGAAGAAAAGTAAAAGGATAATTTTCAAAACCCCTCACCTCCATAATAATAACATTTAATAATTGGGTACGTTTGTTTTAGATTATACTCTCTTGGTACTATGGACACAATTGGATACTTATTAAAATATGAAATTTATTTTGTAGAAAATATCAAGAGAAAATAATTAATTATAATAGATAGGAAACCTCACCACTATTTTCTGGACCACAGTTTGGATAAGGAATTGAGCACATCCAAATGGCTGTTTCTTTTACATTTATATATTATGTGAGAGATTAACTAGGATGTTCTTCAGATATATGGGGCACCACAGCTTGTTAGAATCCATTGGTCACATGGCTAGGAATTCAAGAAGTCTGGAGGGATACTGAGTTGAGATCAATGATGGACACCTGCCTATCAGAACCTCTTTTTTTTCCCCATTTCATGTGCCTCCCAAAACCTGTTTCAAAAATTGGAAGAGTTTCTTGAATATTTTTTAATGTGATCTGAGAAGCTTCTTTGGGAATAGGAGATGAATAAAATTGTCAAGTCGTTTCTATAGTTAAGTAGTAACCTTATTAAGAAATTGTCCATTGGAAATTATATACATCTTTTAAAGATGTAATCCTTCAATATTTATGCTGCAAAAGTAGTTATACATATCTACACATAGTCCATGCAGGACAGAGTTTCATGTACACGTAAGCCAATTTATTTCATTTATACTTGTTTAGAAACAAATATGCCTTTGTTTCATGCAGCTGTTGAATTTCATGCATGGTTTGCTGTAGAGCTAGAACAAACTTTATAGAGCAAATTTGGCATTTTAAAATGGAACAAAAATCAGTCGGTTTTTTTTCCTGATAAATATAGATATAAAGAAAAATAGAACAGAACAGAATAGAATAACTTTATTGACACTTCGAACGTACACTAATAAGCATACAATAAAATTATTCTTTGCAAATAATCTGCCTCAATATTTATATAACATAATGCCAATATATCTGATAAATAAAGAAATAAACTTTGTGATTTTGATTTTAGGGGCAATCTATTTCACATTACAGATGTGAGGATCATGTTTGTCCAAGCAACTGGGAAATTATATTTAATTTTAATTAGACTGTAGTTGCAGTTGTTGCTCTGTTGATTTTTTAATTATGTCATGTTAATAGTGGTTAATGCTATGATTAATATTGTGTTAAGGGCCCCAAGTACTATACTTGCATTTGAAGAGAAGGATGTCGTTCTTTTAATAAAAAGAAAGAAAAGAGATGCATAGAGTAGGTTGAGGGATGTAGGATTTATAGATTTAGCAGAGTTGGAAGGTACCTTATAGGTCATCTAGTCCAACCCCCCCATCCCACCCAAGCAGGAGACCCTACACCATTTTTGACAAATGGCTGTCCGATCTCTTCTTGAAAGTCTCCAGTAATGAAACTCACACAACTTCTGAAGGCAACTTCTGTTCCATTGGTTGATAGTTATCCCTGTCAGAACATTTCTCCTTATTTCCAGGTTGAATCTCTCCTTGATCAGTTTCCATCCATTATTCCTTGTCTGGCCTTCGGGTGCCTTGGAAAATAGCTTGACTTAAATTGGGATGAGGTTGGGGGAAGGAGGAAAGAGAATATGAGTTGTTAATACTGATGCAGGTTACAAGTGAGACAGATTACTCCTACTGTATCAATTTCTGGACATGGAACCTCTCTATTAAGATATTTGTAGCAGTTTAATTTTACAATACAGGTAGTCCTTGACTTACAATAGTTCATTTAATGACCATTCACTAAAGTTAAGACCATCCAAGTTACAATGGCACTGAAAAAGGTGACTTACAACCATTTTTCACAGTGACAACCTTTGTAGAATCCCTATAGTCGTGTGATCAAAATTTGCATGCTTGGCAACTGGCATGTCTTTATGATGGTTGCAATGTCCTGGGATCATGTGATCACCATTTGTGCCGTTCGGGCAACAAAGTCAATGGGGAAGCCAGATTCTCTTCACAACCCTGTTACTAACTTAACAATTGCAGTGATTTACTTAACAGCCATGGCAAGAAAGTTCATAAAATGGGGCAAAACTTATTTTAGCAACAGAAATTTTGGGCTCGGTTGTGGTTGTAAGTTGAGGACTACCTGTAATAAAGAATATGTTTCCGTTTTTTTTACATAGTCTTCTAACCTGAATTTATGGTGAAATGTCATGCTCCTGGTGGAGACTAACTCTGAGGGAGAGGAGGAATAGCGGAAGTGTGGCTCTGGAAGCTGGGGAGGAACCTGGGGAAGGGCAGAGGCCAGCTGAGCAGCCAGAGGAGGACCCAGGCCCATCCCCTCTTCATCCTAGGGCACACAGGGAGGAGAGGATAAGGGAGAGACGTGGTCTACTCGGGAGGAGAGGGCCTTGATCCTCTTCATGGGCTGCAGCTGTGACAACTGAATAAGAGGACGGACTTGTGTACAGGCGAACGCTGGAAACAAAACGTGGAACTATCTCTAGTTTATGGTTCCTCTATGAGTTTGGCGTCTTTCCCAGTATGTGTTCTGATATCTGCGGACGTCCTCCAGCCCTTATCTTGCCTGGTTTGTGTTGCTTTTTTCCTCCCTCTTGTAACTGTTTGTGTGGGAGTTTTTTGTCTTCCGTCAAGGATATTTGGTGCTTGAAAGCAAAGTGAAGGAATAAAAGGGCCACCCCAATATAATGGAGGTTAAGAAAACGGCCAGGTATAAGGAAATTCTAAATGACCAAGGGAACTCAAAGAGCAGACAGAAATTGGAAGAGCAGGGAATAAAACTGGATTGGTGGACCTATATACAAATTCAAATAAGATATAAAAAAAGTGGGGAATTTGGAATAGATAATGAAATACAAAAACTAGATAAAATCTTGATTGGCCCAGAGGAGAAATTATTATCGAAGTTATATAAACATTTATTAGAATTTGAAAGAGTGGAAGAAATTGTGAAAGGAACGATGATTGCATGGGGTAGGAACGTTGGACATACTATTGATCTGGAAGAATGGGAAAAGATTTGGAATGTGAATTGTAAAATAACAAAATTGGTGGCATATAAGGAAAACCGACAGAAAATGTTCTATCGTTGGCATTTGGCACCTTCAAGACTGGCTAAGATTTACCCAAACTTAAAACCAAATTGTTGGAAGTGTGGAGAACAACAAGGTACCTTCTTTCATTCTTGGTGGACATGCCCCAAAGCGAAAAAATACTGGAAAATGATTCAAACGTGGCTAGAAGAGTTAACTAAAAACAAAATTGATTTTGTCCCGGAATTATTCTTCTTAGGAATAATTTTAAAAAAACTATAATAGAAAGATAAAATATCTTATATTACATATATTAACAGCAGCAAGAATTTCATATGCTCAGTACTGGAAGGAAAACTCTATACCACCTGAAGGCTTAATAATCAAAAAATTTTTAGAGTGTGTGGAAATGGCTAAATTAACTATGGAATTAAAAGGGCAAACAGACACAGTATACAATGCAGTATGGGAAACATGGTTTATTTGGATAGATAATAGATATAAAAATAGAAAATGTAAATAATGTATATAATAAATAAGACGGTATAATAGTATTATGCATTGTAAGTTTTGATAGGACACATAAATGTATATATAATGTCACAGTGCTGTTTAATAACTATTGGTATTATGTACAAATAGAAAAAAATTCAATAAAGCATTATTAAAACAAAAAAGGAATAAAAGGGGCTTCACCGGGTTTTTGTGACTGTGTTTGTTTTGTATCCCACCCTGGGTCATCACGTGAAATATCTGAGAAGTTCCAATTTCTATTATTTTAAATCAGGACTGTATCCATAGGTTTTTTTTTAACAGACTTCCAATTTTTTGTTTCCTTAGCAGATGAAGCACAAATTAGGTAATTTAAGACCATTCCATATTTTGATCAGATATTTTAGAGAAGCTAATTATTTGAAACTTCACCAAGCCAAACCATACTCAAACCTACCTGGGTTTGTACTTTTCTTAGAATATTTGAAAGTTGCTATGTCAGATAAGTTGTTGCAATTCATAGATCAACATTTGGCACGGAGTAAAGGAGCATTGCTCCTGCAGATTTTACATCTAATGTTTGCCCTGTTTTGTTTTTTAAAAATCTTAAGTCTCCCTATCATTTTTGCACTTTGCACCAAGAGTTTCCTTACTAATGGCTCTGTTTGCTTCTCTGTTTTAGCCACATCAACAGGAAAACACAATATGAGAATCCAGTTCTGGAAGCAAAAAGGAAAAAGCAGCTTGAACAGCAGCCCCCGCCAGCACAGCCTCCACCGCAACCATCTGAAGGTTGGCACCTCCTGAATAGAATGACCAGGGTTGAAAAAAATGCCCAAATGCCACACATACACACTTCTCTAAAGTTTCATATTTTTGATAAATGACTGAACAGTCCTGGCTTCCTTCCTGCACGAAGACACAGGGAACGTGAGGTTATTTAACTGGAATATTTAAGACAAATAATCTGCTCACCCAAATGGTTATGTGGCCACTATGAAAAATCTCTTTGGGACTCTACGGAGGGTCTCTATGGAGAATCCTATGCAGTTGTGAGTTAACTATTGAAACTTGAATTTGAAATATGCATGCCTGAGACATGTCTAAAGCACTATTTGTGGAAGAAATGGAGCCTGATAGGTATTCTACATGTTTAGTTCACAAAATGCCATGTACAGTTCTTGTAATCACACATGCACAAGGACACATATACACTTATGAAAGACAAAAAGATAAGACTGCAAAAACTTTTTGAGTGCAGCTTGAAGCTAATACAATTGCATTCTGTATGCACAAATTGTCATAAAATTATATTAAAATTGTTCCAAAGCAAACAGATATCATCTCAAACTAGAGTGATTCGTTATAACAAGGTAGCATTATTTGTTTGTGTGTATATATATTTAATATTCTTATCTGACTACCTGAAACCAACTGAACTCTAGGTGGCTTACAGAGTGCAGGAATTAAATAAGAAAAAAATAACTAAAAATACAAAGCTAAAAATGATCAAAATGTAAAAGTACTGTCCGGAAGTGTCAGGCATAAGCAACTAAAACCACTTGTGTAAACTTTATTGTTTATCATTAAATTGCTAGCTTTCCCTGGGAATGACCAGATAGGACTTCATGGATTCATGCTTATGCCGTTTACAGCAGCGTAATGAGTCTACGCTCAGCCCTTGCTTGACTCCATCCCTCCAGATCAGAGGTGGGCTGTTGCCAGTTCAGACCAGTTCATCCGTACTGGTAGTTTCGACCACTGGCTGCCCCCCACCCCGTGTATCCCATCCTATTATCTCACTCTCTGGCTAGCTCGCCCTACCCACACAGCCCAGCTGTTTATTATTCCAATAATTTCTGGGGGACAAATTTGTTTAATAGATAAATTATGTCTGTTATATCTCAGTACTTTCTTCCATTAATCATTTTTTAAGTCTTAATCAATTTTCTCTTCTGATACGCAAAATAAATGAATATAAGGGTGGCAGTCTAAATAACATAAGTATTCTAAGATCTTGTTTACTCCTGCAGTGATAGGTAATGGTGCAGCTCATAGTGGCCAATATGTTCCATCCACTGGTTGGTCTCCCACTCAGGTTTCCAGCTTTTGCTTGGCTAATGGTGTTGCCTACACTTGTTCCTGAGAACACTTTGAGAAATGCCCATAAAATCTATTGTGACAAGCCTTCTGAGGAAAGTCAAAGGAAGGGGACTGTGCCTAGAGACACAATGGGCTTGTATTAACAATGTACAAAACCAGAGTGGTTCATTGTGTGGCTGGATCCTATATATCAGGGCTCCCCACCAAACCCCTGGTCCATGGACTGGCACCAGTCCACAGCATGCAAGAAACCAGGCCGCACAAACAAGCAAAGCCCCATCCACACGATGCACGCAACACACGAAACGGCACCCCCTCCAATCTGCAGAAAAAAACTTTCTCCACGGCACCAATCCCTGATGCCCAAAAAGCTTGGGGGGGCCACTACTATATATAATATTCCAATAGCACTTCCTGTTCCAGATGATACAGTTCAAAAACAAATGTGCTTTGAATATTCTAGTCGGCATGTAAATGCCCTTTGGATTGTAGAAGCAATGGACTATTTAATGGTGAAAACAGTTAAAATACTCTAATACTCTTCTGGAAGGCACTGAAGACCTGGTTCTGCCAGCGGGCCAGGGGAATCCCAGAGCGAGATGGGGCCCATCAAATGGCTCATGTGACCTGCTGTCGTCATGGTGGGGGAGGGGAGTTGGGAGGTGCCTTTTTTCAGATTTTGTTCTATTGTACTTTATTAATTTATTTGATTATTTTTGTTAGTTTTTATTGGGGTTTTTTTGTGTTTTTTTTAAATATGGTTTTACATTCTGTAAGCCACATCAAGTCGCCATGGGCAAATAGGCGGGAATATAAATTCAATAAATAAATAAATAAAAACTCTGTTTTCTTCTCTTTTTTTTCAGAATGGGCTGAAGAGAATCCTCCCCTTGCTCCTCCTCCTGTTCCAAACCATATTCCCAGTAACCAGGAGGCAGTTAGAGATGTTCCAGTACAAGGTAAGTTGCTATGAGTGTAATGAAAGGTTTTTTGTTTTTAAAGTGTCAAAGGAAGAATATTTATCCGAAAATTAGACCTTAGGACCTTCAGGAACATTCATCCCAACTTTACACCTCCCTCCAAAATTGTTTCCTGTCCTCACTGGCTTTGGTCGGTTTAGATGCTTCTGGGATTATCACAACCAGATCATCATCTCCAAATAAGAACATACAGGTAGTCCTTGACTTACAACAGTTCATTTGTTGACCATTGAAAATTACAACAGCACAGAAAAAAGTGACCTATGATGGTTTTTCACAGTTACCACCTTTGCAGCATCCCCATGGTCATATGATCAATATTCAGATACTTGGCAACCGATTCTTATTTATGATGGTTGCACTGCCCAGGGGTCATGTGAACAGTTTTTGTGAACAGCAAAGTCAATGGGGAAGCCAGATTCACTTAACAACTGAGTTACTAACTTAACAACTACAGCAGGGGTGGGATTCAAAATTTTTAACAACCAGTTCTGTGGGCATGGCTTAGGTAGAGGGTGTGGTTTGGTGGTCATGTGACTGGGTGGACATGGCTTGGTGGTAATGTTATTGGCTGGGTATGGCCAACTCAGTATCACCCACATCGAGGCACGCATCTCCTCGCCTGGCCTCTCATGACTGTGGGGATGCTGCAACAGTCATAACTGTGAAAAATGGTCATAAGTCACTTTTTTCAGTGCCATTGTAACTTTGAATGGTCCCTCCACACAAGCAAAGTACCAGCAAAGGGGGGGGGGGGAACTCCAGAGAATTTCCTGAGACAGGAAGTCTAGTCCTGCCAAGAATGTAATTAGGGTTAACGGAGAGGCAGTTTCTGTAAGCAACACCAGAATGTTTCCTTCCTGCCTTCCTTACAGGATTAGGCCAGTAATTTCTTCTAACAACCGGTTCTCCAAACTGCTTAGAATGTTAACAACAGGTTCTAGCGAATAGGTGCGAACTGGTAGAATCCCACTCCTGAACTACAGTGATTCACTTAATAACTGTGACAAGAAAGGTCATAAAATAGGGGAAAACTTAATAATTGTCTCACTTAGCAACAGAAATTTTCGGCTCAGTCGTGGTTGTAAGTCAAGGACTACCTTGTAATGCTTATTAATTCAATATTATTAATTCCTACTATTCATCCTAGGAAGTAACTTTCTGATCATTGAAAATCTAGAATAACAGGAATAGAAAATGCCATAGTTGTATAACATAATTGTACAAGATTATATACAATTTTCATACCTAATCTCTCCTTTCCAGTGTGTCTAAACTAAACCAGACGAGGGTGTCTAAGGTCTTACCAAACTTCAGGCAGACATTCAGAACGATGTAATAATACGGTGTTGGTTTTTTTTAGTGTAAACTGATGTTTCCCTCTATTCTGAGAAGAATATTATTTTCCATAACGTTACATTCTTACCTGCTCATTCTTTGAGGTGTTCAGAGTAGCAAGGAAATGCTCTCTCTTTTCTACTAAAAAATTCTGTACTCGTGAAAAGCTGCACTTGAGTCTACCCTTTTCAACACGTTTCAGGGTGCCAAACTGAAATGGGAAAGGGAGAATTAGAGAATATTGGGCATCTGCAGCTTGATACCAACCAAATGTACTACCCTGTTTCTCCAACAATACGGCCTCCCCCAATAGGAAGTCCCAGCATGTTTTATAGGCATGAAATGAAATTAAGCCCCTCCCCCCCCCATATTAAGGCCTATATTAAAACATGCGAAATGGGGGGAATGGTGAGGGGGCTTGCCGTTAGGAAGTACTTTTGTTGCACACCCGGATATGGTGCTGCCTGCGTTGACCCCGATACGAAGTGCCCCACCAACGCCAAGGTCAACATCCAAGCCGTCGCCGCCCGCCCGAAGATGCAAGGGGGGGAATTAAGTCACTCCCGAAAATACGGCCTAGCCATTTTTGGGGGGCTCAAAAAAAAAATAAGACCCAGTCTTAATATATGAGAAACACGGTGGCAGTATAGAAGCTCACTGTGCTATTGTATATACAGTATGTTATTAATAACATGCAACAAGAAATTATGACTAAAGGATGGGAATTCAGATGCCGGGTGGCAAGAGACTATCTCTGGGGAGAAGCTATGGGCATTACCACATCCCCTACTTAAAGTCTTCCTAGACGCAATCAGAGGACAAATACATCATTGATCTGGTTTGATTTTTGTGGACAGATTTATCTTTTGAAGAAGTACAACATTACTCTGTTTTGGATTATTTAGCATTAACATAAGAAGAAAGTATTAAAGATGTTCTGACTTAGAATACTTGGGAAGGACCAAGTTAAGATTTTTTTTTCTGTTGCTGTTGAATTAATATGCACATACAAATCAAGACCTGCTATACTTTATTATTTGTTTCATTTCAATCACGCTTGTGATTGTATAATTTAAAACAGGCCATAGAACTCCTCCTGAGTTCCTTTGGAACTATGAAAATATTTGGAGAGATTTTCTGCTATAGCAGCCAATTCAGAAAAAGGTAGTTTATTCACGTGGAAAATTCTGCCTTTTAATTGTTGTTCCTCTAAAATGTACTTAACGCACAATATATAATTGCCCATTAATTAGAAAAGCTGTAATGTATAATTTCAAAAGCTTTGCAGCTATTTTGGAGAGCTTTACTCCAAAAGAAACCTGGGGAAAGCTTATTGATCTCAAATGCACCCACCGTTTTGTCAAAGAGGCTGAATCATAGTCTCAGCATGTGTGAGCCATTCATAGGCCAAGTTAAACACATACCTGGCCTTTCGATTTCAGCTGATAAAAGCTGGGGCTTTAATTGCCTGTGATGGTGCACCAGAAATACAACAAGGAATTAATATATACAAAAATGATGCAAAGCTGGCATTCAATGCACCCCTTTTATTCAAAATTCAAAATTTATTTTATTTTAATTGATATTACATAGATTAGCAAATGGTCATATATGTATATACATACTTTTCAGGCAGGGGAGGGATTCTACCAGTTCGCACCTATTTGCTAGAACGGGTTGTTAACATTCTAAGCAGTTCGGAGAACCGGTTGTTAGAAGAAATTACTGGCCTAATCCTGTAAGGAAGGCAGGAAGGAAACATTCTGGTGTTGCTTACAGAAACTGCCTCTCCGTTAATCCTTATTACATTCTTGGCAGGACTAGACTTCCTGTCTCAGGAACTTCTCTGGAGTTTTTTCCCACTCCTTTGCTGGTACTTTGCTTGTGTGGAGTGACCATTAAAGTTACAATGGCACTGAAAAAAGTGTCTTATGACCATTTTTCACACTTACAACTGTTGCAGCATCCCCACAATCATGAGAGGCCAGGCGAGGAGCTACGTGCCTCGATGTGAATGATGTTGAGTTGGCCACACCCAGCCAATAACATGACCACCAAGCCATGTCCACTTAGTCACATGACCACCAAGCCACACCCACCACCTAAGCCACGCTCACAGAACCAGTTGTTAAAAATTTGAATCCCACCCCTGCTTTCAGGGTCAACAGCACTCTATAGAGCATAACTAAGAAGTAAGAAATAATAAATTAAAGGTATATGATAAAAAGAAAAGGAAATGGAAACATAATTAAATCTAGTTAATAGCAATTCCATTCATACAATTGCAGCCTTGCAAACAAACTTTTTTTTGTCCCATTTGTACATCACGCTGTAGATGCTTTCTGTTGTTTAACTCCTCACTTCTTGCTTTCTGAAAATCTCATCAACTCCGTCCAACTATAACGTTCTCAATCTTACTCTCGGTCTCCTTTTATTTATTCCTCCTTCATAAGCTTTCAGTTTCAATCCCTTTCAATTCTACTCCATGGGACAAGGCAACTTAATCTTGCCTCTTTTGTGCTAACAAACATTTCTGTTTGAAGCTCCTATTGCTTCATGTCCCTCCTTGGCTTTATTGTACTGGACCATCCTCTATCTCTTTAGAGTCACTTAGGCGAGATGGATACCCATACAATTACCGTATATACTTGAGTATAAGTCGACCCGAATATAAGCCGAGGCACCTAATTTTACACAAAAAACTGGGAAAACTTATTGACTCGAGTATAAGCCGAGGGTGGGAAATGCAGCAGCTACTGGTAAATTTCAAAAATAAAAATAATTAATTTGGGAAACGATCTCACTATCATGAAAGGTTTAATTGATTCACTAACCCAAAAGAAGAAGATGATGATGACAGCGGGAGGCAGGAGTCACTCTCTTCCCCTCCCTCGGAGGCCCCCTGAGTCAGGAGTCACTACCGCCGGCGCAGCCCCAGTCCCGCCGCCTCGGGAAGGGAAAGGCAAAGAGCTTTTTGCCTTTCCCTTCCCGGCTGGGGCTGTTGGGAGTCGCTGCCGCCGGAGCGGCCCCAGTCCCGCCGCCTCGGGAAGGGAAAGGCAAAACGCTTTTTGCCTTTCCCTTCCTGGCTGGGGCTGTTGGGAGTCGCTGCCGCCGGAGGCCGCGACTCCACACCATTTTTTTTTTCAGAGGGGAATCTGACTCGAGTATAAGCCGAGGGGGATTTTTTCAGCACAAAAAATGGGCTGAAAAACTAGGCTTATACTCGAATATATACAGTAAATCAAATCAAGTCATGTCAAATCAATCAATAGTTTTAATTCTTATTGCATTCAACTTACTTTTCTATTTCTCCAGACAGGTCTAACTATCACTTCCATAAAATAAATTAGATAGTAGTACACTCTTATGCACAGCCATTTTTTTCCACAAACGTTCTTTGCACAGACCTTGTTCTGCTCGCTACCTTTCTACCAGCATTTGAAAATTTAAACACTTATTATCCATTTCCCCATGTTTTTATTAACCCTTCTAACAAGATACACTTGCTCTAATTTTTCATCATTTATGTATTGCATAACATCCATGCTTCTCATTGTATCCTATACAGTAGTCTGTCGAACATGTGCTGAAAATTGCTTGATTTTCCAACAACTTGAGATTAATTGCATAAAGAAGTACATGTCACATTGCCAACTAAGACTCCTCTAATGCTACAATAGAAGAGAATATAGATAGATGGGTGGATAGTAGAGATAGATAGGTAGGTAGGTAGGTAGGTAGGTAGGTAAATGAGACAGAGAGAGAGAGAGAGAAAGAGAGAAAGAAAGAAAGAAAGAAAGAAAGAAAGAAAGAAAGAAAGAAAGAAAGAAAGAAAGAGGTTGAATTGTGCTGTCCCTGGTACTCCCTGAGCTTGGTTGTTCAGTTGTTCCAGATCTTTCATGATCTGACTAGGTAATATCATCTGTATGAGTGAGTGCAGGGTTCATGTTTATATTTGGTAGCTTGATTTGCCAGTGTGGTTCTTTCTTTGGTAATTCCTTGATTAGAGTATTGTTTCCTGCTTGATAGTTTGTCTAGTATTAATCCCTCCTTATCTGGGTATTGGTTGCTGGAGAGGATGTGATTCCTTCTTACTTTATTATTGGGTCTTTTGAATGGTATATCCTTTTTTTTAATGGTGGAACAGGTGAGGAATTAAAAACAAAAGGCAATCTATGTGGGGGGGTTTTCTATATGTCTCTGGCAGATTTTTATGAATGTCAATCATCCAGAAATTCCCTAGTGTTTTTTAATTTTGCTTGCTCTAGGATGGGGTGACAAACTTACGTTGTCATGGCAGCATCATGTAATATATCGGGACTTTTTTCCCCTTCACTAAACCGGGCGGGGGTGGGACCAGCACATGACACATCCGGCCTGCGGGCCGCGAGTTTGACACCCCTGCTCTAGCATGCTCACAATTTTTCACTTAAAACTATGGTTGAATCTGTCTATTGTGAGATTAAGGAGTTTTCATAATGTCTTCTGGCTGCTAATTGGTGTTCATGTATCCTGCCTACTGGTCTTCTGCCTATCTGCTCTTCATAGTGGCTGTTACACATTGATTTTAGTCCAGATAAGAAGCATGACAACGAACACTAATTCGATCTTCATTGCAAGATTCTATTAATAGAATCTTGCAAGTCAGAAAATATCTCTCCTGTCCCTCACTTCTACTCCTCTGAAAACCAGGAATAGTCCTTTCTCAAGTCTACTGTCTCTATTCTTCCTTCCTGTCTCTATCTAATGTCTCCCAAGGTCATTCCCACATACCATTGTAGGGTGAAGATAAGGTGCAGGGAAGATCAGCTGACAGGCCATTGGAATAAGTCACGTTAGAATAGTAGCAATCTTGGTATCTGAGAGAAGGGAGGGAAAGAGGCCTGGAAAAATTAAATGGTGAGTAGACCTGTGGTAGGTGCTATACTGGGGGCATCAATGGCAGAAGCCAACATAAGAAAAGAAAGATAATAAGCAAATTGAAAAGTAAATGGTATAGTAAATAGTAAATGATGCTGTGAATTCAGAAAATGAAAAGTGCACATCAGATTTGACTTTCTCTTCCTGACTGGAATTTGTTTCATCTGAAACCTGGAATAAGCAATATTTTCTGGGTCTCAGTTCTGTTGAGGTATGATCGCCTCAGAATTATTTAGCAGAATAATGTCCTAAGTTTTACACTATAGATTTTCCCATTTGATACCCCTTGTGTTTTTCAATGTTTGGGTGTGGGCAAACTTCTCAGAAGAGGAAAGCTCAATCAAGTTCTAACATTTAGTCCTTCTGAGGGTTAATTCATTGATAGAGGAGAATATTTGTAGTTGAAATAAGGGGTCTTTGGTGTTCTCTCAGTTTGGTTGTTTTCTTGCAGACATTTCATTACCAAACTAACATCATCAGTGCTGATGGGAGGTTAGTTAATTGCTCCGCTGGCAGAAGTTAGAAAAGAGAAGGATACTGTAGAGAAATTAGTGCATTTATTTTTCCTGACTTATAAACTTCTGGAATTTTCACAGCAGGGAAACCATTTTTCACCCGGAACCCATCTGAACTGAAAGGGAAGTTCATTCACACCAAACTGAGGAAAAGCAGCAGAGGCTTTGGTTTCACTGTGGTCGGCGGAGACGAACCAGATGAATTTCTCCAGATAAAGAGTTTGGTGCTTGATGGGCCTGCAGCACTGGATGGCAAAATGGAAACAGGTAGCTTGACAGGAAACTCCTGGATTCTCTGCTCTAATGGGAGATCAGCCACGGAAAAGTAGCGTAGTTAACTGGAGTTCAATCATGTTGTTTGCCTTAATTTCTATCTCAAAGCAAAGGAAGGGAAATAACACATTCCTCTGGATAAAACTAGAAGTTCCATTCCACAGTTTTGTTCCACACTCTTTACAGTACAGTTTGCCAGCTGTCTGGGTGATGTGGGTGCCTTGTTTTAAAAAATCATGATTGTCTTGCCTCCTATAAAATTTCATGTCAATCCACTGAGAGTTATCATTGGTGGAAACTAGATGAAATAAAGAGGAGAGACAGAAACAGTTTGGTGTAGTGGTTAAGGTAGTGGGTTAGAAACCGGAAGGCTGGGAATTCTAGTCCCACTATAGACACAAAGCTTGGGCCAGTCACCTTTTCAGCCCTAGGAAGGAGACAACAGTAAGCTTCTCAAATCTGGCCAAGAAAACTGCCGAGACTTCTTCAGGCAATCACCAGGAATCAAAGTTGATTCAAAAGTTTTTTTAAAATCTCTGATTTAAAAAAAAAGAGCAGCAGTCCTACAGTTAATAACTTAGCCTCTGTACATCCACTTGTCTTTTAAACAAAAAGAAAATAATGAAATATTCAATCAAGAGCCCCTTTAACTAATACAACGCTAGAGAAAAATTAGTAGTCTACCAGAATCTAAACCTCAATTATTCTATTCTGGCCAAAGGGCTTTTCCCCCAAAAAAACCGAAAGAAAAGAATGTCAAGCAGGTTATAGTGTCTCTCTATAATGTGTCTATATATAGCACTATAAATAGGTTATACTGTCAAACCACACAGGCATAAAGCCATTACATTGTAGAAGCAAAATATTACAATCTTCCGAATTTCTTAATAGTAGAAAATTAAATCTAAAGGACTTGTGTGTATTTTTAAAACATGTGCTATGTCAAAGCCAAAATGTTCTGCCATTTTTTTGGATATAATTCAAAACAAAGTCCTTCACTGTGTGAGTCATATTGAGCACACACAATGTAGCACTGCTGCACTTAACAAACCTTTTGAAGGGACAAAACATATTAGAGCTTAAAAATGCAAAGAGTAAATTTCCAGGACACTGAAGGATAATCCCATATCTGCTACAAACCTCATTTTATACAGGCAAAAGAGTTTTATGTAAGCAATTTCTTTTTCAAAAATAAAAACATCAAAATATTTCTTCCCAAGTGAACTGAACTGTAACCCAATCTATCAAAAAATATGTTTGAGATGTTTTAAAACAACTAAAAGCAAGAATTCCTTCATCTTTATTATTGGTTAAAAGTGAAGCTTGACTGCTGAAACCAGTGCAGTCTTTTCCAGTCAACAAAACGATTCTTCTTTTTTCTTAAAGTATTTATCAGTAAGTTAGTTTATTCTCATTCAAGAATGAAATTTATAATACTACAGGAATATTTGATGATTTCCATGTTGGAATATATTTAGTATTATAACAGTGTTTGTTCCGCTTTATATGACATGCTATTATTGTTCCCTTTCCTGGGGAATTTTAGAATGTAAGCTACAGGTAGTGCTTAATTTACAACCACTCACTTAGTGAACATTTGGAGTTACAACAAATATTCAAAAAATGCCATGAATACAATTACGCACCCAAAACATTGCATTCTATCACCCACGGCATTAAACACAGATCCAAATCCATTATTTTGTCCCCAGGAACTCATGTGCTTAGTTATGTAAGGTAATTTCTGAATTTTAAAATGCTATATTAAATATTAATATAACATAAGCATAATAGTTTTAATATATGTAATATTCTGCTTTGGATTCAATGCTTCCTTTTTCATAATCTCTGAATTTGTTGTAGTGAAAGATGGCTATGCAAGTTTTAGTTTCACAAAAAGAAAAATTATTATAATAATTTTTAATAATTGATAAGCTAAAATCACTCTTTGTCTCTGTTACATAGCATTTTGAGTTATTTGATGCCAAGATAAATGAACTCCCTGGATACATTTCCTTGAACAGTGTGT